AGGTGGAGATAAGAGAAAAACGTTTTCTAAACACCTCCGGTTGCTTTCAGTCCTAAACCCTTGGTTTGGGTTCGAACGTTTTAATTCAAAAATGCTATCATGATCTTACGATGATGATGTAAAATTCAGTCATGACTCCGAAGACTGAGGTATCGGTTGTCGTGTATAAAAACAAAGTTTTGTCTGGTCAAGGATATTCCATGCGAAAAATTAAATTACGCTGACAGTCCATGTTTTAGAAAGAGTATATATATATATAACTTTGAAGTGGTGTTTGAACCTGGCATCGTTAATAGCAGAAGTGGTCGAGTTAAAAAACCGAAATTATTAAAAATTGATCTTAAGTATCTCAGGGTATGCTTTTTTACGAGATACACATCAGTGGTGTACAAATCTTGCCAACGACCTTGCTGTAAACACAGGTGTAAAATTTACCTCAAAGGCAGTAGCGTACAAATTAGCATGGAGTGATTTTAATGGATATATAACTGTTTGAAAACTGCCACTGAAAGTAGATAACCAAATCAAAAGGTTATGTGGGCATTAGACCACAAACAGTGGAATGGGCAAAGTTGAATATGTTATATTTATAGAAGAATCCAAGTTATAATAGTCTAACAACGATTAAGAATTTTTTTTTCCATGGAGGAGAGGAGAATTGTAACACAGTCAATGTAGAACACCTCCAGTGAAGTACGATGTAGAAACAATACATTTCAACAAACTATGTCGGAGATCTATACAAAAATAATGGCACCCTGACTGCTGACAAGTACAAGCAGGTCCAATCCATCATGCCATTTCTTTAGAAGCTGATTAATCGGATATGATTCCAATCACACAGCAAATGTGGTAAAGTGAAACGATTTTTATAGTAAAGAGGCTGATGGAACTCTCCCAAACATAGCTTAGCATGCACAAAATTCTGATATAAACAGTCTTGAGACTTCATTAGTAAAAGAGCAGCCAAACCAATTGGGTAAGTTGTGTGTGTGGAGTGGGTGGGGAGTAATATAGGACAATTTGAAACAATACTCCACAGTTGTACACTGACAGCATAAAAATATGTAGTAATGCTCTGTAAAACAAAGAGCTTTCATACAAAATATTAGTACCCGGCAAAACCTTTTCGTTTTTTCTTTTGCATTTTGTTGTGACAGTTTAATACCATTAATAAGTCCGCCTCTAGTTGCCATTACCCACTGTTTCTTCTGTATATGTGTGGCTTGTGTTTTCGTGATTACTTCCATTAAAGAAAAAGATAACTGTGCTCACTGAGAGGTTTATAATTCAGAGGAACGTTTTAGTCGCCCTTCGTAAGAGTCTATGCCATATAGATAAGGACACCCTACAAATCGCCACAAGCCTGCTTTTCAAGATTGGTCCTACTAATTCCATAACTGTGGGAGAAGTTAGCTGGACATTCAGACATCTAGAGCTACAAGCTAAATTAAGTTAGAAGGAATACACACACCATTCAGACAATCCACCCCGACCTAATGGGTCTGTCCCCACTGGGCTTGTGTCCCATAGAGACAATATGTAACAAGAAAAATTGTTCATATTGGGTGCAGCATTGATGGTAAGAGTGTTCAGAACATTTTAATAAGTACCTTATCAGCACGAAACAATACTAAATTGAAATAACTATGTTAGACAACAAAATCTTCTTTTTTATATCTAAAACAGATCCCATATTGTGAGATGAAGTTTTTAGTTATTATTATCATTAATTCTTCCAACGTGATCTTAAATATCTTAAGATGATAAAGTCTTAACTAGTTAAGAGCTAATCAGAAATTGCCAACGAAATATTTGCTAAGAGCGTTGGGAAGGAACTCTTTGATGTGTAAACCTCTTTAAAAATTCTTTAGAAAGAACCTGATACACTGATAGAAACAATCTCGCTGATAAATGACTTTCAGTTAATCTGATTTCCGGAATCGTTTTAAATGTCGATAATCTGAATGTATACCGTTTCTACATTTGGGCAAATATCTCCTATTTTTTTTTTAGCTTTTGTAGTTTTATACTTGTCTTCTGACGGAACAAATAAAATTACTTTCAATAAATATAGTTTAAAATTTAATGCTGCGCGAAGGATCTAGATATCGTAGAATTAAGTTTTCAAACACTGATTATGAAGAACCACGTCAAGCCATTGGATTTTCGTCTAGACTTACAAAGTTAATCTGTAACCTCTGGTAGTAAGTTTTCACCAAATCGTTGTATAATCATACTGGTATGAAGGTGAACGAATTCAAGACATTAGAACACGAATGTTAATAATATATTTAAATAAAACTGGAATATCAAATATTCTATTTCTTTTCTCATTTATTGCTACGTTTTTACCTTTTTCATGACTTTAAAGGTCGCTCTTCAGGATATAATTTTATTGAGAATCTATAACAAAAACATACAAATACCATTTTTCAACTAAACATAAATAATCTAAAATAAATACACATATTTTCTACATGTACAAACATATAATACACTCCATGTATAAATTAACTACATTAAAATGCTCAAAATAAATAAAATTAGTCAATATACTTTCCTTTTTAAACTAAAATTTAATTATACTTTCTATTATTATAGAAATGGAATTTATTTATCTATAACTTCATACTCTTACTTACGTTTTTCTTTAACTCTTATTATTTGTTTGTAGTTAAGCACAAAGCTACACTCTGCCCACCACGGGTATCGAAACCCACTTTCAATGGCTTTAAGTCCGCAGACATTCCGCTGTGTCACTGGTGGGGGGGGGGGGTCAAGTCTTATTAACTCTTTTCACGCTTTCGCAATTCCTACTGACTTTACAAAATCAGTTACTTCTGCTATTTTAGTATTATCTATTTAAAGTGGCGCCAGAAATTGAATTATATTATATTACTGAAAAACCAGGAAAGGATAATTTAACTTTAAAATTTTAATTTTATCTTTCACAAAACGGATAAAAATAAAACATGGGTAATTATGACCCAACAATTTTATAATCAGATGATTTATGAACATTCAAATAATACAAAGGTTTACCAAGAAATGGGAATCTTAAACACATTGATGCATAATTTTCATAAAAGAAAAATTAAAGAATTTTATTGATGAATTTAAGGTTACATTAACAAAAACAAAGAAATATTTCATTTTAAGTAATTCAGAAATTGGGTACTTTTACGTACTTCCTAAGATCAATAAACCAAAAGTGATTAATGAATTATTGTTGGAAACATGAAGTGAATTCATTCATATTGGAAAACCTCCTAATATTTCAGGAAGACCGATTGTATGAGGTAATAAAAAAATACTGAACATTTAAATGACCTTTTGGATATATTGTTAAAACCTTTTTACTTCCTATTCCTAATCCTCTTAGGGATGATTTTGAATTTGTTGAGAAATTGCCAGAAATATTAGATGAACACCAGAGTTTTGTTTCTTAAACGTGGAAGCTCTGTATAAAAGTATTGAACATGACTATGGACATATGGATGGGGAAAGTTTTCTAGATAAATACAAAGTATTAATTAATCCTAGCTTTAATAAAGGTTTTATTTTAAAAGGCTTAGATATAGTCTTAAAATTGATTTTTTTTTTTTACTTATGAGGAACACATCTTTCATGGCCACAAAACTCGCTCCAACTTATGCTGATATCTCTACGAGATTTTTCGAATTTCAATTATTTAATATACCACCTAGTTATTTTGAAGATCATTTTATAAAACTTTTAGACGATTGTTTTGTAATATGGAAAGATACTCAAGATATTAATAACCTTGTTGGAAATTTAAATTCAGTAAACAATAAATTAAGTTAACCTTCAAAAGAAGAAAGATAAGTTTCACCATAAAAGGAAATTGTAACTGATATATTCATAAATCCACAAACTCACATCAATATGTACCTTTTTTGGTAATCATTCCAAATATATAAAATTAAATGTTTCTACAAATCTTGCAAGTAGATTATATCATTTGGTTTCCAATTAAGAAACGATAGTTAATTGATTATTAGAACTAAAAGAATTTTTAGTTCAGTGTCACTTTCCGGAAAAAGTTATACTGAGAGGTTTTGAAATTGCTAAGAATAACTTTTTTTAATAAAAAACATTTAAACAAAAGATTAATGAACCTAAAGAGAATGTTACATTTTTTGTTGTGACTCATTTTCCAAATATACATATTGATATTTCACTTGTTAATATGCAATTAAAACAAAAAGTAGATCAAAACTGAAAGATGTATTCAAAGATACTAAAATTACTTTATCAAGAAGACAACCTAAACAGTTATATAGATTAATGAATAAATATAAATAAAGAGATTTTTCTGAAGAATGTATTTTCAGTTGTGAATGGAAGAACTATAATTTAAGTTATAATAAAATGTAATGTATAATGTAATTTAGGTTACTTACCAAAACATTAAAGAATAATAATAAAGAAATTTGGTTTTTTATTGATAACTCATTTAATTGCAATGCTAAGAAAGTTATATATATATATTAGACTGTGTAAATCGTGGATAATTATATATTGATGAAGCAGATAATTTAAGGTTAAGGATAAATTTATATATATATTGCATGATAGATATTCCGAAAAAACTCGCTATGCAAACATTTTAATGACTGTATTTTGAGAAAATTTAAAGTTCTAAAATAAACATATTTTCATTTTTTCCCTTTTGGGGCATGAAATGTAAAACATGAAAACTTATTTTTCGAAAAATATTTTATAAGTTTTTTGGCGCCAATTTAAATAGATAGGAGTAAGAAGAAAGAAGTAACTGGTTGTGTAAAGTCAGTAGAAACTGCGAAACTTGTTACTAAAACTAAAATTGTTACTAAGACTTAAAAAGATATAATTAGGATTTTATTTGTTTTGAGTTTCGCGCAAAGCTACACGAGTGCTATCTGCACTAGCCGTCCTTAATTTAGCAGTGAAATACTAGAGAGAAGGCAGCTAGTCATCACCACCTACCGCCAAGTCTTGGGCTACTCTTACCACCTGGCCATGCCGGGCCATAAAAAAATTAAGTAAGAGTATAAAATTGTAGTATAAATAAATTTTATTTATATAATAATAAGAGAAAGTATAATTAGAATAAGATTTTAATTTAAAAAGAAAAGTATATTGAGCAATTTTTAATGTACTTAATTTAGAAATGGAATGTATTATATGTTTGTACATTTGGAAATTATGTGTACTTAATTTAGAAATGGAATGTATTATATGTTTGTACATTTGGAAATTATATGTACTTAATTTAGTTTATGTTTAGTTAAAAAACGGTATTGGTATGTTTTGTTACAGATTCTTGAAAAAAAAATTATATCCTGAAGAGTGACCTCGGAAGTCACGAAACCGGTAGAAGAAATAGTAAAGGAAAGAAAAAATAGAATATTTGATATTCCTGTGTTTTATTATTCATGTCTACAGGTGGATTTTATTTCTGTTTTGGTTATATATACTTTTACCCAACATTGTCTTTTATAAAAATAATAACGACTGTCGTCCTGATATAAGGTTGAGTATGGGTGTCTAGGAAAAAGGTTTCTTCCTTTACTTCAAGGGTTAAATGTAGGAATCAAACTTATTAGATGGCCATTTACAATAAGTTGAAAAAATATATATTATGTTGCAGAATTCTGCCAGATGTGTGTGCGAATTTGTTTTTTTTAGTTGTTGTTACTGGCGTAATACGTGAAGTTACTTCACACCACCATGCAATCATGAATTAACAAAATGTGAATATTAGACCTGCTTAATAATTGTTTGCTTCTTCTGAGAGGCCTAGAGAGTAAAAAAAGGTATTTTACAGCAGGTGATCATAATTGTTGAAGGATTTGGGTGATCTAAAAAGTAGTGAAAAAAGTGCTTCAATCAGCAAGTTAATACTGGTTTCTTCTCAATCTCATCTAGGTGTTCACGTTTTCCATATTATCTGTGTCAGTGACTGGAAGAGTCTACTCTACATGGAGTTTCAACTCAGGTGTCCTAGACCAGAAATATGTCGTTAATCATCGTCCACCATAGCCTCTAGCGAGTGATGGTACGTTGTTCACGTGCATGAATACTTACGTCTATTCATGTTATTACTTACAAGTGTAGAGGGAAATACCATTGCTGACAATCACCAAGTAGTGGTTAGAATTTGGAAGAGTATTTAATACTATTAAGTGCTTCTGACATCAAACAATTCAACTGACTGACAATAGTAAAATGGATTTGCCATTTTCATATCAAATTAGAGGTTTTGCTAATGATAATCAAAGTTAAGAGTTGGGGAAGAGATATTACTGAACAAAATATATATACATTTACTCAGTAGTTACTCTTAGGTGAATTATACTTCTATTTAACAGAGATGGGAGAAGATTGGTTTTATTATCTTCTCTGCATGCCACAAGTTTAATATGTATGCCTAAAAAACAAACGTTTTTAGCCTACTTAATCGTTAAAAATGCATTTTGGAGCAACGCGACATCGGACGTCAAAAATAAACAAAATATTGAAATAATAAGACTGCATAAGTCAACTGTTTTTTTTTTGGTTGTTTTGTCCATACGCATAATATATCTACACAACAAAAAAAGAAAAAAAACTTTGGATTTCCACGTACTTCGTAATTGTGAATGTACAAAAAAAAAAGATGTTGAATGTTGATGGTTTCATTGTAGGGTGGAAGTGTTTAACGTGTTAAAATAACGAGAAGAGCTATACGTCTTCTCACAAGGAAGCAATGGAACACTATGTTGTCTGTAACTCATGCTAAACAATGCTTCCGTTTCATGAAACAGAACCATGGCAATTTCCCTGTGCACCTAGAAATAAAGAGTTGGCTAGAGATAGAGTAAACATCAGAATGGTATGCAGTTAGTATTAGTTGTCCAAAAATCTGTTAGGTGGCGTGTAAGAGCACATCTTTTTGGTTGTTCATTTCACTTTAGGCATTCTAATATGTGTTTGAGTAACCAGTAATTTATGACCTGTGAACATACCGTGATCAGCAGGGGGGCAAATCCGGATACAGGGGCTTTGTTCTACTCCACCACGGGCAGACAGTGCTAAAAATGGCAGGAAATCTATCAAAAGCACAACAACTAGATGCAAGAAAATCGAACTTTACGGCTACACAACTGACGACAGTGATGGAGCAGGGGCACGCTGTCCTCGCAATATAGACACCATCTTATCTCACCTCCAAGTCTTTTTTTTTCTTGCTTTGTTGTATAAGTTCGACACGAGATAATACCGTCGAATCTAGAGATTAAAATAACACTGTGTTAGAGTATACAAATTATTCGTAATGTTCACAAACGACGTTAAACAGTCAGACATATTTAAAGATTATGTATATATATTGGTAGATTTAAAACAAATATTAGAAAATATACGAACGGCTAAATAACGTATTCATTATCACGTAAAGTTTCAAATTGATTCTAATTCCGAATTAAGAAATAGAGAGAAACATTTATTTCTAACATGACTCAAGCTGGTGGTATTTGTGTGATATCCATGCAATACCCAGAGGGACTAGAGCTTAATATTGTGGGTGTTAGAACAATATCTAAGCTTTGATAGATTATTTAGGCAGAATATTAATGATTAGTACACTTGAATGGGCGGTAACTTCCTGTTGTAGAAAAATACCCAGGTGTACAGGATAACGTTTCAGGTGTCAAATAAAACAAAACACATTGCTTGTTAAAACTCATTTAGTCTAATTCTCCACTGACGTTAATACAAGATAATAAATTATATTAACTACCAAAGGTCAACAATTTTTATCAACTCATATCACTGCTTCCCTTAAAAAAGTGTACAAAAAACACGCCTAAAATAATACTTACAGCTTATTAGAATGAAAAAGAATTTATTCAAATGTTAATATACTTTAGAAATATAACTAATTGTTCATCAATTTTTTCCTTGGGTTTCTAACTCGGGAACTTCTAAATTAAAATTATAATTTTACTAGTAACCTATAAAAATCCGAAACAGTGTATAGAGATGGACTACAACTGAACCTATGAATGAGGTTCTCATAGATTTCACACGTTGGCTTATAAGTGTGCAGGTCTGAATTAGCATTACGTAGGGACAACATTTATTTCCAGGAAAAGGTCAGAAAACTCTCATCAATAACCACCTCTACGCTATCCTTGGTCTATGTTATCTAAAAATATGGGTAGCGTGCATTAATAACAAAGAGAGGATGTTATGTTATACTGCCATCAAAATACAGCAAGGTAAACACAGAATGCATTAGAAATCCAGTTACATGCTAGCATGAAAATTATTACATTTAACCAAGTCTAATTACAGTAAACTACCAGAGTGCTACTAATAAGTGTATATATAGAAAATACATGCCTTAGAAATTTACAACCAATTAAGTCAAATACTAAATGAAAATGAGTACTTTTATCATTTAAACACGGATTATAATTTAAAACGTCGGGCTCTTAGAGATTCAATCTTTATAAAATACTTGAATCTACATAGACCTAGATAGAGGAAAATCGCTTTGAACCTCAAATTTTATTTATTTCTTTTTATCAAATTCTTTGGCTACTCCATACAAAACGAATAATGGGATTCCCCACAACATTATAACGTCCCCATAGCTGAAAGGACAAACGTGTACGGTCACAGGGTTAAGTCCAATAACCCACCCAGTCGAGCGCCGCAATCGAAAGGCTATGCCTGTACATTTGTACCTGAAAATCCTACAAAAAAAGAAAAAACTTTTCCGCATGCTGTTGCAAACATAAGTTGATATTTCCCGACATCTAAATATTGAATAGATTTGTTTGTGGTTAAGCCCGAACCTACAAAATGGGTTATCTGTGCTGTGCTCACGGGTATCGAAACCTTATTTTCACCGTAATAAGCCTTGAGACCTGCCGCTGAGCCCCTGGAGGAAGCATTAAGTAAATAACCTTTGTAGTTTCCTACATTCCTGTACCAAGAAATAATTGGAAATATACTATAAAGGAGTCATCCTAAAAAAAATTCCCTTGGTATACAAAAGAGCAAATTAGAAGCTCAAACATTCTTCTCCATACAATTATAAACACACTACTAAATTTTCAGTTTATACTAATAATTGCACGAACATATCTAATAAACATTTTGTTTTGTCATTTGATATATCATCAAACACAAAGTTGTGGGAACTTGTAGAACAAAAGCTTGTGAAAAATTACTAAGTTTGCTCATGTAGTCCGATAATTACACAGTTTATTAGTGAATTTGAATGTCTTGCTTATTAAAAATGTCTTACACTTTGAAAGATTTCTGTATCATTTTATATATTTTTATCAGGTTATAATTTAGATATGACATTATACAAGCAGTTTATTAACTTATATAATATAAACTATGTCGTAAAAAAGGGAATAAATATTTACAAATCTTAAGATGTAATTCTTACAACGATTCTTAACAACCACTGGCAAAGTAAATTGAATGTAATTCTTGCTGAAGCTCTTAACAACTGTTGATTCAGCATTTAAAATTTACTTCTTACTAACGTTTTTACCAACACAATGACACAATTAGGATGTAGTTCTTGCTAAAGTTGTTAAAAACCACTGATACAGATGTTAGGGTATAGTTCTTGCCAAGGTTGTTGAAATCACTGATACAGATGTTAGGGTATAGTTCTTGCCAAGGTTGTTAAAATCACTGATACAGATGTTAGGATGTAGTTCTTGCTAAAGTTGTTAATAATTACTGATACAGATGTTAAGATATATTTCTTGCTATGGTTGTTAAAAATCACTGATACAGATGTTAGATTGTAGTTCTTGCTATGGTTGTTAATAATCACTGATACAGATGTTAAGATATATTTCTTGCTAAAGTTGTTAAAAATCACAGATACAGATGTTAGAGTGTAGTTCTTGCTAAAGTTGTTAAAAATCACTGATACAGATGTTAGAGTGTAGTTCTTGCTATGGTTGTTAAAAATCACTGATACAGATGTTAAGGTATATTTCTTGCTATGGTTGTTAAAAATCACTGATACAGATGTTAGAGTGTAGTTCTTGCTAAGTTGTTAAAAATCACTGATACAGATGTTAAGGTATATTTCTTGCCAAGGTTGTTAAAAATCACCGATACAGATATAGTCCTTGTTTAAATTCTTAGAACAACTGCCAGAGAACTTAGAGTGAAATGTTTAGAAATTTTTAGCAATCAATCACCTTTGTACTACTTTGGATTTTATTCGTGATAAAGTTCTTAATTACTACTCACACAATATTTAGGATTTAATTCTTGCTAAAACTTTTATCAGTAACTGACAAAATACATTGATTTAACTCATGCTAAAATTCATATCCATCACCGACAAACTACTAAGTATTTAATTCTTGATAAAGCTCTTTACTAGAACTGTCACAATTTTTCAGGTCCAATTCTTTAGGACTTAATACTTCCTAAAGTTTTTAGCAATAGTTGACCCAGTACTTAGAGTGAAGTTCTTAGTGTTCATTGACACCGTACTTATCTTTTTGGTAAAGATAATAACAACCAGAAACACAAGACACGGTACTTAAGATATAACTCTTTCTGGAACTTTTAACAGTTATTAGCCCAGTATTTCGGATGTAATTCTTGCGAAAGTTTTTAACAGTCACTGACACAGTTCTGATACAGTATGAAGGATGTATTGTAGTTCTTACTAACAACCACAGATACAATTTGTAGTTAAGGCTCTTAACACATAGTACTCCGAATGTACTTCTTGCTAAAGATCTTATTAATCCCTGACACAGTACTAAGGTAGTAAGTAATTCATGTTACGTTTCTTAACAATCACTGACAAACTACTTAGGATGTTATTTTAGACAAAGTTCTTAACAATCACTAAGATATTTTATTACAATTTACAGCTTTACAATAAATAAGATTTGTTTTTAGAACAGTTACGACGTTTCGATCACTGGTGCGATCATTCTCAAGTACACAAGTTTTAACGGTAAAGAACGTTTTAGTATTTAAATCAATATTCAACAATCTAACAACGTATTTATATTCTACAATTGGTAGTGGTTTACTTATTCATACTGAGAGAGTACTTAGAATGAAATAGTACTTTGAATGCTGTTTTTATACAGAACTTCTACATCAAGTTTTGAATGTGAGTATATATATATATATATAGTTATACAGAACTTCCACATCAAGTTTTGAATGTGAGTATATATATATATATAGTTATACAGAACTTCTACATCAAGTTTTGAATGTGAGTATACATATATATATATATATATGTGTGTGTGTGTATGTGTGTGCCATCTAGAATGATCAACCCTAGGGATGTGATTCTTTGATATCAAATATTGACAGAAGTTTTGTTGAAGAATAATATACACTGTCAATCAACAGCATTAAACAAAAAACCTATGAACGAGTGACTGACAGATTTTAATACCATTTATCAATGTTAACAATAAACCGATATAAATGGGGTAGATGCATGCGTGCATGCTCAACTTTGTACGTATAAACTTGATAAAACACCAGCACATGAGAAACAGCGTACAACGATAGTTCCGCAAGCACTAGAAATATTCGCTGTGTGAAACTTCGTTAAGTGTTAACAGCAGATAATTAATGTGGCTAATTCTTCTTGTAGGCCTCACGCCGAGTCTTTAAAATAAGATAAATTACATGACCAAGTCGGCGAAAGATGAAAGCAAAGAAAACTGATAATATTATGCAAACTAAGTCGGGCGCCGAGCTGACAAAGACTGGAGGATACTTCGCCAGTGATTAGGGAGAATCACGGGATAAAGGACGAGCTCAGGGTCTTTCCAAACGTTGTTGTGGTAATAAAAGTTGATAGTAAATGACGCAAGTGTTGAATATCGATTTCGTCCCATACTAAATGCGTAAAGTGAACGCCTACGTTTAAAAAATTAAACGTTTAGGCACACGAATTTAACAAAGCCTATAAGCAGGGCTTAAACTTATACTGATGGCATTTAAAAGTCTACAAAACTTAAATGTGCATGTTTACGCCATAGTTTCACACCAACAATCAACTATTATACCATAAACGTACATATTAGGATCATCGATATCACTTTTTTATTTTAGAAATAAATAATAAAATTATTGGCAATACAGAACAAAATTTTAGAAATGTACGATAAAAGCGAAATATATATTTCATTTATTCAAAAGTACTAAATTATTAGTCAAGCTTCAGAACCTTTTACTACAAGTAGAAACATAAACAAATTTAAACAACATGATTATCGCATTCCTGGAGTTTGTCATTCAAGAAAGTAGTCCTCAATTACAGTTTTTATATTATAATCGCAAGACAATTATAACAAAAGATCTGGGCAATACCAATTTAAGGGAAAAATTCTTAACAGCATAATTTCAAAAGAGTTATCAAGTGAAGGTTACGAAGTGCAAAGTATTGTAAGTGTGAAATATTACATCAGTTGCTTTTAGAATATATTGTTCATAAGTAACTTATAAGCAATAACTCAGGTATTTAATAATGTTTCGATGAAAACAAGATACAAAAGTTGAAGTGTAAACTGAACGTCATTACCTGTTTACGTCTTTATGTAATTTTTTCTTATTACTTCTTTAACAGTTGAAAGCTGCTACATCTCGCCATTTAATAACGAGAAAATAATGTATCTTTATACTTAATGTCTTTGTGAATATAATGTGAATTGTAGTAAATTGTATTAGTCGACGTTTCGAACTAACAATAAATACCACAGTGGAATTTATTACACTAAGCTTATGCTTGTTTGGCCAGGCCTCTGTGTCACCATTTCTTTTGCGAATTTCTACTTGCCCACACTTTGAAGAGTGTATATTGTTCTGGTTACAATTTTCAAATGCCTGCTATTTTCTCTCTCTTTATTTTTCGGCTTTGTTAACATGAAACTTATGCATCATTCCATTTCAATCCAGGTCTCGTACGATTTTCAGTTACTTATCAAATTCATAATCAATAATGTCAAACGTGCTGGTAAGTTTTCTAATTAAATAGCGTCTTATGCAGCTGTCACAATGTAAATAATTCAGGTTTATATTGTTAAATCTAAGTAGTTCTTATTTGCACAAATCTTTTGAGGCACACCACAAAGAAATATATTTTCGTGTACTATATAGAGGAGATATAGATTATCAGTAAGATACTTCTGCTTGGAACATTCTTGCCTTTGGAAATATATTTCGCTTCATCTAGTCACTAAATCTGTCAAATCTCAATACATATCATATCATAGAGACAAATTTATTTTTACAACTCCTTATATGAATGATATTAAATTATAATTACCCAATAAAGTGTTATTTTCCTGAAAATAAAACTGCATTTGTCGATAATTATCTCATTAAATGTATATTTACTTTCAGGTTCTGTTTTGCTCTGCGGATCTGGCTAGCTGAGTTCGAATCGGTGCATGTCCATAAAATATTCTCCGCACTGTAGTCTGTGTCTGCGTTATAAGAGTGACACTCAGTCCTTTGACGTGGATTATATGTCTTAGTGAGCTGTTGTCTGACTGCTTTCCCTTAGATCAGTAGTTAAAAGTTAGGGAAGACGGCATATAGCCTTGGTAGGTTTTCCGTATAAACTAACTATAAATAGATTTACTTTTTTACTCAATATAATGATGCTACTATTTTTATTTCTATTAACAAATATACTACGTTTAAAGTGTATTTGTTTTTGTTCAGTTTGAATTCATTTTCTTTTTTCCTGTGTATTTACTTCCATAGTATTTTATGGTTTTAACTTATAAATTTGTAGATTATGGACAAACTTGCGTATATATTGTTTTTATTTGATTTTTTGGGTTTATTCTAAGCGCAAAACCTCATAATTCCTCAAGCTTATCGCTGAGCCATCAAGATTGGTTTTCTTTTAGACATTCAGTTCTAACATACGACATCTTGTTTGCTCTATAATTGGAATTTAAGATAATAAGCTCTCTATCTAAACAGGTCCGCATTTGTAAACCGTCAAAATGTTTAAGGTATTCAGTGTTAAGCAATAAATTATCTTATATTACGTATTTCTACCTCACCATTATAAAGCCCAGTCGGTCCGTAAGTTAGGCTTGTTTTTTACTAGGTATGCACACCAAAATATACTTCACCATACCATTAAACAATGACACTACGATCTTTTAATTAAAATATCACTGAATTTAATCGATGTATACAGTGCTGTTTAAAAAGTAGTTCTGCAGAAAATGTATCATCAAAAAGAAGTCTTCAAGGTTCTAGTTTTTCGTTGTAATACAATGGTAGCTTTCTGGAGCAGTGGTGAAAGACTTGAACTTACACATCGGTCTTTTTTCAGCAAGTTTTTACTTCAATTCCGTATAAACTGAATTAAGACATAGAAGAGTGGCTTCAAGTAACAAATTTAATTTCACATATGATGGTTACGAAATGAGGTTAAAGCTGACACACGGTGCATCACCACTGCTGTGTTAAATCTGACACATGGTGCATCACCATTACTGTGTTAAATCTGACACACGGTGCATCTTCCCTGCTGTGTTAAATCTGACACACGATCCATCTCCCCTGCTGTGTTAACTCTAACACTGCTCTGTTACATCTGACACACGATGCATCTCCCCTGCTGTGTTAAATCGGACACACGATGCATCTCCCCTGCTGTGTGGAGGGCTTAATTCTAATGATGCTTCTCTCTATATATATTACTTTAACATAGGTTCGATCCTACGTTACGCTGAGAAAAGTAGTCGTCGGTTATAGGTAAGAATTCTCGTGCTTATATTTTACACACTTTTGTATAATTACTAATGTTTTTATCAATTTTGGATAAAAAATATGACGAATAAAAACACTCAATCGATATATAAGACTTGTTTTATACTATTAACTAACCATACATCGTTCAAGTCTCTTTCCGTACTTAGTACTTATGAATATGCGTTGTCCAGGTCTCTTTCTGTGCTACTTACTATGCCTCCTCCAGGTCTTTTTCCTTGTCACCGATTGGTTATATGTACGTTATCCAGGTCTCTCTCTGTGTGCTATACACTACGAGTCCTCCGTGTCTCTTTCCTTGCTGTTGATTGACTATCCATATATGCATCTTCAGGTTTCTTTCATTAAGCAACTATGTGAAACTTGACGTTTCTTTCTATGCTACCAAGTAACTAGAAGAAAATTACCAGTACCTATAACTAACACAGTATCTGGGTAACGTGGTTAAGGTAGTGTGTGCTCTTGTTATATTATGAACTGAAAGAGAATTATATTATCATCTGTCCTTGCTGACCAGTTTCCTGTATTTTCACACGATCTATGTTATAATGCCACTATGCGAAAGCGCTCTTTACGTAAGCGAGTGCAAGTCCTAAGTGACCAAACTACGAAATTAGTGGTATAAGTGCATTACTGAAATAAGTTTAATTATTTTTTTGCATCCAATACAAGTTATTATTGAGTCACCTAAGTAGACGGTTAAAATCTGGGAATAAAATTTAAGAAAAATAACCCCAAACAACAACAAAAATATCCACAGAATACAGCAATTAATATTATACTGAGATATTATAGTTGTATTATAAACTAACAACTTTCACCGTGGCATGTCAATAACGGAGTTAACACTAAAGTGGAACAGAATATAAGAATAATGCAATAAGTATCGAACCTTGAGTATTTGTTCTGAAACTCATCTGAAACAAAACACGTGATTATGAGAATGTACTGATGTTTCTCATATCGTGCTACATTGTAAAAGAACGTTACAAGTTCACAACCTAAAAATCCTTATATCTGGAAATTGTCACTACTTTATGAATGGGAACAAAACCATAAGGGCAGTATTTATTATCATTATTTTTCATATGTGGAATGGAAACAAACAATAATTTTCAGAAAAAATTATTCACTATTTGCACTATTATTCCGTGGCACTCGCCCAGTGTAGTAGATTACAATAAGCCCAATGAGTTAAATATGGTTTTTTTTGTTAGTTAGGATTAAAAAAGTTTGAGAATATAATTACTCCGGGCAATAATAGTATAATCGAGTTACAGACTGACTGTTTAACGCGACAGCTAGCAAATATCTATCTCCTGTAGAAGGTATATATAACTCACATGCTTGGAAGTTGTATGGTTTGACACACATCTTTTATTATTAAAAAAAATACTTTTTACAAAGTTTAATTAGGCTGATGTGTTTGAAATAGTTTGAAAGTTATCAGAAAACGAAAACTGTCGCAGAACGTATGCCAGAAAAAGACTAATAAACAAACAAGTGAGAAGAATGTATGAAAATGATCGTGATTTGTTACCTGACAACTGCCCCCTAAAAAAAATTGCCCCTCCCCAGACAACTGCCTACCGCAGCCACATCTTTTTATATTAATATGACTGACTAAAAATAGAAAAATAACAACACATATTTCTTGTATTTCATAGAAGAATGAATTATCTAAAACTGTTCAAGTAAGAGAAAATAACACAGGTTTCATGTTAAGTTTTGTTTATTGTAATAAAACAAAGGTGTTAAACTATGTTAAACTAAAACTGTAAATTATGAGTCATTCCTTTCTCACAAAGTCCAACAAATTGCGGTATTGTAGGGAAAATTCAGGATTTTTCTAAATATTGCCTTATAAAGTTAAGAACTTAAAACTTATATATTATTAAAATATGGATTATTAGGTACAATTTTATGCTATTCTAATTGGTATAACATAAACAAAAATTACTTTAATTGAACTGTGAGTGTAAAAAATAACCGGGGTGAGAGGGTTAAACAGTTTTGTAAAATATAAGAAATATGTTATTTTTCCTATGTAGTAGTTTTATTAATATAAGAAGATATGACTGCGGGAGGAATTAGTCCGGGGGGGGGGGGGGTTCGTTACGAGAGCAGTTGTCCTACAATCATCGTGATTGAAGCTTCAATGGCAGAAAGATGAGCCATTCTCTATTGATCATGAAAGTTTTTTATCAAAATTCCACCTCAGAGGTTCTCATTCCACGGAATTTACTTACAATAGGATTGACCAAGGCGTTACATTACGTTCATAGTCCAGTCAGTCTATATTTCAACATCAAACTAATTGCAACAGAATTTTTTGGGCAAGAATAATGTAAAACTTTATTTCTTGAACAACATATCAAAAGCCTAGAAAAATCCAAATTGGGGAAATTACAAAAAAAAGTTTTTAAAAAGTAAATTTTGCCATTTTATAAGTGGTACATATAAGCCACCGTATAATATATGCTTATCTTAGAAATTTGTTAGTGACCGGTGATATACAAGTAGTGAAAATAAAATGAACTGTGCATGGTAAGTTTCTTGCATTGTATTGTTTATTATATGTGCAAAACGTATATCCTAGTTGATTTATAATGCTAAAATGTCCGTAAATTATGCAAACAGCCGATGAATCAGATTGTGTCATCACTGTCATGCGTTTTCTCGGCGGCAGATAGGCCTTGTGAGCTTTGCCCTAAATCAAAAAATGCAATAAAACAATGCACTTTTGCGGATGGCAAACATGTAAAAATAATGCGTATTTATATGTATAAAGTGATGGAAAGTTATTGTTTTTGATAACTAACGATACATTTGTACTATAAGGTTCATTATAATGCCTTACAAAAGAAATTAAAAAAAAGAAAATCAGTGACGTAACTGGGTCGATTTTTACAACTACGGAAGTCCATTCGTGCCTTAATTTGGAAAAAATCATAAAAATTACAAAAAAATATAGAACAACATCATTTTGCTCACGTTGGCATTATTCTTGTGTGCCCTTATATTTAACAACATATTATATGAATTTTGTGTTACCACATATATATATAAACAGTCCTATTTGTAGATGGAAACCCCAGATATAAAACGTGCTAATATATGTTTAAATTATTTTACAAACAAGCATTGAATAAGTGTTTGCTTTATAGTTACGTACCTTATTGACTGTTATCAACAACAACAACACTCATACAATAAGTGGATGTAGACCTATTCTTTAGACTCGCTCCAAATTAACACTACTTTTAATTAAAAACTAACACCCTGGAGGTATTTCATAAGAACTCATTAGATAATCTATGTATTCAAACTGTTTTAGGTCTGTTTTTATTTTGTTTTTAGTCCAATAGTTATAAGGTTACTTTTAATGTATTTACAGATGGAAATACTAAACTCCTCTCACGTTTGTGTTATTTGTAAGGGAAGTTTACAGAATGAAAAAGCTATTGTGCAGTTACGACTGAAAGGGTCTGCTGGTATAAACATTGCAAGCACTAAATGTGGTGATAACATACTCACTGTTCCAGGACAATATGTTCCCAAAGAATGTCTTCAAAATTACTGTAATACAAATGTCATTAAACGTGATAGTAAAACTTCTTCACATATTCCTACATGTAAATTTCATTTACTAAGATCTGGTAATGAGCAGTTTTGCTTTTAAGAACAGTGCTTGTTTTGTGGCCAAGCTGCAAAATTATCTGGAAAAAGTGAGGATTAGATGTGTTTCCTGTCAGAACTATAGACTTCCAAAATAGTATTACCAAAGTATGCATTGAACATGCTGATAGGTGGGCTGATGAGGTCCGAGGACGACTGGAAAGTGTAAGTGACTTGCCCACAGCAGATGCTATATATCATCAGTCCTGTTGTGTCAATTTTAGGACTAAGAAGTGTATTCCAGAGGTATTTTCACCAGAACAACAGACACAAGGGATTACAAAGACACTAATGTGCTCCTATCTTTTCTACTAGAAAGAAATCCGTTTATCCAAGACCCCTCATTACACAATATTGAAACCAGTGTGGCGTGTGATTCATCCGTAAATGTTTATAATGCAAAAGAAATCGGATCAAAAGTCTTACAAAAAATGGTTAGAAAAATGTGATGGAGTATTCTTTCAAAAGATCCCAGCAAGCAGTGACACTTACTACAAAGCCTGTAGTAAAATTAGATAGCGAGTCAATTCAGGTTGACCCCCAGCTACTTTTTCAATGTCTTACAACAGCTGCAACTAGATCGGAAGAAGACGTGTCACACATATTTGGATATGAACTTTGTAGTATTCCATCTGCACTGTTTGATCCATCAGGTTTTCCAAGGCAACCACAAAAACCAGCATTAGCTGATGCAATTTGGGCTTTAGGAGATTATGGAAGACAGGAGGCTGTTACTGAGAATGTTCAACATGTGTTAGATGGAGGATCATTATTACAGTGCATGCCATGGCAACAAGGCATAGATTTCACAGATATTTATAATGTGTACGTAGAATATATATCTAAAAAGTATGTGGATCCAGTAATTGTGTTTGATGGCTACCAGTCAGGACCATCAACAAAGGATGTAGCCCATATGCCGCGAATGCATGGAGTTTTCGGTTCGAATGTTAACTTCAAAGACAATACACCACTTCTTATCGAACTCTGAAACAAACAACATTTTATTTACATGCTCGGGCATCAACCTGAAAATAGGGATGGAAAGTTGTATATGCTGAAGACGATGCAGATCTTTTAATAGTCAAGACTGCAGCTGCTTGTGCAGAAACTCGTGAAACAATGGTGATCGGTGAAGACACGGATCTTCTCATATTGCTATGCTATCACGATAATACTCAGAATTGTAATATCTTTTTCAAGTCAGAAGGGAAATAGACTACGTACAAAGCAGTGAGAATTTGGGACGTTCGACAAACGAAGATGATACTTGGAGCAAACACCTGTCGCTATATGCCGTTCGTTCATGCTTTGATGGGTTGCTGCACAACATCTCGCATTTATGGGATTGGAAAAGGGGCAGCGCTTAAAAAACTAGGGAGAATGCAGAAGTGTTTTACAATCAGGGTAAAACAAGAGATGAAATACAAAAAGCAGGAGAACAAGCACTTATATGTCTGTATGGCAGAATTCCAATTGAGGGATTGGATTTATTACGCTTCAGACATTTTGCACAAAAAGTAGTTTCAAGCACAGCACACGTACAGGTACATACACTTCCTCCTACATCCGCAGCTGCACAATACCACAGCATGAGGGTCTATTTTCAAGTACAAACATGGATCGACTCAAATGACAAAATGTTATCACAAGAGTGGGGATGGTCAATTGTAGGCAATAGTGTATTACTAGTTAAGACACATTTACCACCAGCTCCAGAAAGCCTATTAAAAATTATAAAATGCAACTGTAAAGCGAATTGTGACACTAAATGTTGTACATGTAGGAAGCATGGACTTGAGTGTTCTATAGGCTGTGGATAATGTAGGTGTGTTAACTATACAAATATAACACAAATGTCAGAATCTGACATAAATGAAGATACAATATAAAGAGGACAATGTGCCAGCTTCAAGATAGGATTGTATGGTTGTAAAGGAAATATATATATATATATATATATCAAATTTAATCCTATTTTAAAATCAATGTGCAATATATTTTGATAACGCCATAAATTTAGCATAACTGGTTCTGGTTTGTGTATCAATTCAAGTAATACAACGTCGGTGAATAGATAAAGCAAAATGTTTATAGAAAGATGTGTGTGTGTTAAGTCTCATTTTGTATACTCATTTTCTTGATGGGTGAGGTAATATATATATAAGTTAAAGAGGTGAATAATCATTAATTTGGGCTTCAGTTAAAATGCATTTAATTGGGTTCATATTAATAACTATTATATATTTGTGTATTTTTAATCATATATCAATGGAAAGAGTGTATAATAAGAGCATATGATTGCATATATTAAATCAAGTTGTTCTATTTTCATCAGATATGTTAATAAAGAAAATGGAAATTTTATGCATTTCCCCCGTTTAGATTTTTCTAGACTTTCTTGTGTAACTTCACAATACATTGCATTGTTTCTGTTGCAATTTGTTTGATGTTGAGGTATGTTTTTGCATAGCCTGACTGGAGTATAATGACAAGTTTATGTTAAAACTAATTTAGACCTCACTTGTATTATTATATTAAGTTTGATCTAGTTTTGATACTAAAGACATTGGCCATCAGGGAGAAGTATTCACAATGATACCTTGGATGTTTAAAACTGTTAAGAGATTGGATAGCCATCACAAAGAATTTGTTTTATTGGCGACATTAAACATAATAACCATAATTTAGTTAAGATTATTTCTCGTTTAGAAAGTGGTGGTGATGTCTCTGTTGTCTCTTTGTTTCCAGTTCTACAGCAAAACTTGTAGAATTATCTTTTTTTGTGAATACCCTTTATCTTCATAGAAATAAAATTTCCAGTTTATTTTTATTTTTTCAGTTATAGCCAAGCTCTGTCAATAGCTCTAACCTTTGATAAAAGATCAAATATATTTAATAATATATGAAGATAAGTGTCATTTATTTGAAAATATCTAATGTGTATTCCAGTCTGTGCTTCATTTTCAGAAGTAAATTTTTAGGAAGTGTTTTCTATGTTGTTTTGATCACTAAGTTTTCTTGCCTTGTAAGTAATATATGATTACTTCCTTGCTTCCCTGGATGTTAATAATGTATGTTTACTTGCCAGAATGTGAGTACAGTGTTACTTTCTTCTTGCCTGGATGTTAATAATGTGTGGTTACTTCCTCAATTGTCTGGATGTTAATCATATGTGATTTCTTCCTTGATTGTCTAGATGTTAATAATATGTGGTTACTTCTTTCTTTGCCTGAATGCAAGTAATGTGTGTTTATTTCCTTGCTTACCTGGATCGTAGTAATATGTGGTTATTTCCTTGCTTTATTTGTCTGATAATGCAGACTGATTTTTTTGTCCTCCTAGATGACAGCAGTTGCCCAAGGTCTGAGAAGAGCAGCAGCAAAATGGTGTAAAGTGTTGGTGTATGGTTTACAGAGTGGATGTCTTGTCTACTGTACTCTAGAGTTTGTAGGAGACTTTGTTATTGTGAGTAGTTTTTCTGTAAGGTAATGAATAAGTTGAGAAAAGTTTTGTTCTAAATTATGTTTCACAGAAATTTTTTGTAGTTTGGTGTTTGTTAGATAACTTCTTTCTCTGCATTTCTAACTACTGTGTAATTATTATTTTTTCGTTAACAAAGAAGTATATTATGAAAAGTGTCTATTACACCAAGAATACAGTGAACTCGTGATTTGGACATGCCACAGGTTTTTGACTGGAGAAATATACCATTAATATTATACAGTTCATAGCATCACCAACTTTAATAAACTGTGTGTCACACATAACCAGTATTTTTGTTCCATTGCTTGGATACTGTGTCAGACTATTTCCACTGCCCTTTAAATTGTGAAAGTTTTCTTTGTCACTACTAGTTGTTGTGTTGTTCAGAATTGTCATTGTTTGCAGTTGTAGTCTATCCTCAGTTTTGGCCAATGGTTAAGCTCCATAAGAAAAATTTGAGGAAACAGCCAGGTTAACCTGCAAGGTAGGGAGAAATCAGTCCTTTGAAAAATGCAGGAAGGCTGTAAACAACCCTGGCCAAACATTCCATGAGGGTTGTTAGTACATATTTGTCATATCTCAAAATTGGACAATAAAAGTTCATTTGATCGTACTCTATTTCTATCAACGAAACAGTTACACTGGTTAAACTGAGACACGTTCACAGTGTGTCACTGAACTATGAACTGTGATGGCCTCTGATCAATATGGCAGTCCTTGCAGCCTCGTGTCGTTCAGAAAGTAGTTCATCAAATTCAATTTAGGACACAATCAAATTTGCTAAAGGACTTTTAGCTCATCTGTATTAGTTAATATCTAATTTTTTGATTTACATTTTAAAACATTGACTTAGTTTCTCAGTTAATTTGGTGTCACACCAATTTAGTTTAAAGATGCTGTGTTACTGTGCATGTAAAATTGCTAGTATAGGCTAATTAAAATTAAAGTATTGGAGTCATAGCAGTCAACAGGGTTACACAAAGTCATCTGAGCTCATCTGCCTATGAAAACAACAACTGATTGCAAATAATAACCAGATATGAATTCAAAAGATTTATTTCTTGGGAAGAATAAAAGGACCAGTAGTA